TTTTCAGGTGACCATGGAAATGAAACATAGACCAGTTTTAATGCTTCATATCTTCTTGAAATCGCCATAAAGTTGATGGACAGAGTGATAGTATAGTGGAAAATCATTGAAGGAAGGGTGCAAGAAGTTAAAAGAATTTTATTTTTCAGGTGACCTAGTTTAAAGTTGATGAACAAAGTGAAAGTATAGCAAAAGATCGTCGAAGGAAGGGTGCAAGATGTTAAATGAATTTTATTCTTCAGATAACAACGAAGGAGAGGCCTAGTGGAGCTCATTTTTATCCCTATTTCCATTTTTAATTATATCATAACTTTCCGAAGTCATCATATACTTAATGGACAGAATGAAAATGTGGCAGGTGAAATTTATTGAACCCTGAATGTATAACGAAGGATATAAGATACTCGAAGAATTTTATTTTTCAGGTGACCAAGGAAGAGAAACCTAGTCTAGCTCATTTTTGCCCCTATTTTCATTTTTAATTATATCATAGCTTCCCGAAGTCACCATAAAGTTGATGGACAGAGTGATAGTATAGCGGAAAATCATTGAAGAAAGGGTGCAAGAAGTTAAAAGAATTTTATTCTTCAGGTGACCTAGTCGAGCTCATTTTTGTCCCTATTTCCATTTTTTAATTATTTCATAGCTTCTCGAAGTCGCCATAATCCTGACGAACAGAATGAAAATATGATATACGAAATTTGGAAGAATTTTATTTTTCAGGTGACCATGGAAATGAAACATAGACCAGTTTTAATGCTTCATATCTTCTTGAAATCGCCATAAAGTTGATGGACAGAGTGATAGTATAGTGGAAAATCATTGAAGGAAGGGTGCAAGAAGTTAAAAGAATTTTATTTTTCAGGTGACCTAGTTGAGCTCATTTTTGCCGGTTTTCCGATGCCCCTGAGGAAGTAGCCTTACAGAGTAAAGGTACAACGGAAGCTGAGGTACTAAGTTAGGAAATTCCATTGCGGGGAGTCTGCCACAGTCAGAGGAATTCGCAGCAACACGGCGATCCTCGCAAGTTCTGGTCTAATCATCCTGTTCATGCAAATACGTCCTCTGAAGCGTCGGAGGAGTGCTGTGTCACCTCCCTGTGTCCAAGGCCTGCTCGCAAGCCTTACTAATGAGTCCATTAGTCGACCCTGGACGAAACACTATCCTTTCCTTCTCTGACTTCTTCTCTCTCTCTCATTCTCTTCCTTCTTTTTAGACTCGCGCTACGAAAAAGGTAACCCGAAGAACGTGTGTTGTAATAAACTACGAAATATTTCAGAGGAGATATGAAAACCTGAAAGCCTCGCGTAACGGACCACCTGAGAATGGGAGTTAACCGAGTTTGCGAAGAGCTGAATATTAGGTACGGGGTTCCAACGAGTCCGTATTATGGAATTCGTTGTCAGGGACGGAGCAATGGCAGTGTTCGTAAAATTGGTACGTATAGACGATCGATCTTCGTATAAAAATCAGAAAAGTATCCAAAATTGGGGAGATACGTGAAAATATCTTTGGATTTTTAGGAGAAGCTTCTGACAATTTAGGGGGAAACAAAGAACAGGGAAACTCGACGATGAAGACAATTTTTGGTTAAGAAAATCATAAACATTTAACTAACAACGTGTTTACACGTGTATCTAATTTGTAATCCATTTTTAGACCTAATAAACACCTGCTTCAGCTGATGGTGGCTATACAGAGGAGTCAGAGCACGGAGGGTTAATTATACGCACACGAGAATCTCAATACACGTACCAATTTGCAGGAAATTAATCTACTACGGAAACTATAAAAAGTAAATAAAAAATGAACACATATATTTAAAAAAAAAAAAAAAAAATGAGAAAAAATAGTGAAACGCATCAAAAAATATTCCACCGATTCGAATAACGCTGTCATGTAAAAATTATAGGCGTGATAGATCGATGTTCGATGGGAAATTATTAGAATTATTAGAATTATAATTAAAAAATGAAATATGGCAACTGAACCCTGGCGAATGGCACAAATAAATTTCTGAAAATAGAACCATTCCAGCGGAAAGAATTTAAGATCGAGATACGTGAAATCGTGAAATCGTAGTCGTGCGATTTTTCCGAAGGAAATCGGGTCGTTCGGTGACGCGTCATCTTCGACGACAACGACGTCCTCGACTCGACGACCATCCACCTTAACGGGAAAACGCGTCGTCGGTAGGACGAATCGTGGGATCGAGAAATGCATTTCTCGAGTCGCGCAATTTTCCCGGGTCTCTCGTCCGCGAATCTGCAGAAGGAAAACCAGCAACGAGGGGAATTCGTCGTTCGCAGCCGCTTTTAAATACCGAATACCGAACTTACCGCTACATTAATCGGTGATTTATAGCGAAGAATTACTTAGAACATCCTTATTAATTAACGTCTCTGGATCTGCGCGAACACCGACGAACCAAAGTCCGAGTCGTCGAATTTTTACACCATTTTGTCTCCAAGAAACAAGCGAAAACAGATCCTTACCCTATAATCATGTAAATAAATCTTGTAAATTAGCTACACACAGTTTGCTTATGAGAAACAATTAGCCAATTAAACAATTTTCTCCTACTCGAAGATTTATTAATATCAACATTTGATTTCTGTCGCTTAGAGATATATTTCCTTTAAGCGTATTTTTATATTTTATATTATTTTTCGCTCGCAAATAAATTAAAATTAAAATTAATTAGATTATCGAGTAGCACGAACAGGTTTTAAACGAGATCAGTGACCGCCATTGATGACCGCCATTGATGTACCGACCGTCATCCACCGCCATAACGGTGAACGCGTTGAAGAATAAAAATTATTTTCTCGAAGAACACAGGTTACAGACAAATGGGGAATTATAGTGATAAAATTCCTCGATTGAAAAGCTATTCGGAGTATGAACGATTGAATAGAACTGGGAAAAGCGTTGAAAAAACGACATAAACTACGACGTCTCTTTTATCCATCGGCTTTCACGCTAGCAGAAGCAACGACCTAGCAATACTTTACCAATCAACGGATTTCAGGCTTACTGCTAGTCGATTGTACACTCGTCGCCGGAGCAACTATCAGCCGATCGACGTCATTCGCTACAGTTCTGCCATTGTCCTCAGAATTCAACAACGGAATCATTCTAACCTTTCACTAAACACTCCTCCATCTCTCACCATCGAATTTCCCAAGTCTTCCACTCGATGGCTCGTCGAACGAGCACATCTGGAGATCCACACAGTCAAGGTTCGTTTCCATCTCTAGATCCATTTCTCATCTGTGCCAATCCAATACAGTCAGAAATTCCACGACGAGCATTGAGAACTCTGTTTCAGCTCCTCTTCTCTCAACCTCGGCTCCTCTTCGTCCATCAGAACGTGGATCTGACTTCAAACTTCGTCTTTCAACATCCTCTTCCTTCACCGAGGAATCTTCCAAGGTATCCAGTCAACAGTTGAACGATTTAATTCCTTCAGCTTCTGTCCAGGTTCCTTCGCGCATGAAACGTGCAGCCAATAGCTGATTCAGTCGTTAAACAGTTCAACCAAACTTCTTCTTTCAAATACTATCTTCGTTTCCCAAACGTGCAATCAGAAGTTCCACGTGGATCGTTGTACAGACCAGTTCTTTCAATTTCTCCTTTCCAGGTTCCCCTTCTTCCTTTACGGAGAAAGTTGCAGGTCGATCGTTAAACGGGACTCAACTCCGTCAACCTCTCGCGCTCGTGTACGCTCAGGAGCGTCGAATCGCAGCGCCATCTCCAGATGGCGTGACGAGCAATCGCGGTTTAAGGGAATAACACAGAGCACGGGTGTGTGCATCCGTTGTCCAACGATGGCGATTCGTCAGCAGAGCGTTCGCCACGGGCAAGAAACACTAATCCCGCGATTAGAGGCAGCTTGAGCAACGTAAATTTCCAAAGGGATCCTTCTGCTTCTTCCCGAAGACACCACGCCGAGTTTGATCAACGGATGGACCTTCGTGGACAGGACGCTCGATCATCCCTGTGGATATAATATAGAGGAGGAACCTCGATCGAGCCAGCTGGAATTTCAGACAATCTTCTTCGTTCTTCCTGTCGATAAGAATGACTCAAGTTGCTCTCTTTCCTCTTCTTCTTCTTTGGGGGTGATCGATTGATCTAGGTTTTTCGTTATTTTTATAGTCCTGCTGAGAGGGAGAGGTGGCTTGTTCGGTGGGTGGTTTTCTTGTGGCAGTTTTGACGAAGGTAAGCATTTTGATAACAATCGATGGACTTATATTATTCTCCATTCCTTATGTAACATCTCACGAAAAGTCTTTCGTAAATAAATGCACAGTTCTCTGATCGTTTCTTCATTCATCATCCAGGTTCTTAAGCTAAGTTTAACCAAGATCTTGGTAAGATTAGGTTTCAATATACATGTATCTCTGTTTGTTTCTTCCTCGTGGCTCTAAGATTAGGTTTCAATATACATGTATTTCTGTCCCTTCCTCACAACTCTAGCAGTTGCTCGGTTCCTTCTTCCACCTTTCAAATTCTCTTTTCCAATTCCAGAACTGAAATTTGCTGCAGGCAAGGAGCACCTCGCATTCCAGTTCCTCTTCCTACCGATTTATTCAACGTTTCCAAACGCGTGTTTCCTCTCGCGTGTGTCAACAAAGATTCGTAAGTAATCCTCGCGTCACTTCCAGCCAATCTGCATCCAGTGATACATGCAACAACTTCCTCTTGCACGGTCCGTGACATCTCGAAGCCCTTTTCCACCTTCCAGCTCGATAAACTCCCATCTCTTCCTAGGTCCCCAATCTCTAACATCGCCGAATCTTTCCTCCCGCCACGGTTTCACACGATTCCAACTTTCACCACGATAATTTTCTCCCCAGGTCCAAGTAACTTCGCAAAAATTCCCATTCCCGAGAGATTGCAGCGGGGACCTACTCGAAAACGCTCTCGGCGGCCTCCCTGATCTTGACGATGAGGAAGGACCGTCTGCAGAGCTTGACGAGCAGTTCGATCCTCTGTCAGGATGGCTTCCTGAGCTGTGGCAGCGCGATCAGGTAGACGTTTCCCAAGATGGCGCCGACTACGAGCAGCATCACGCTGATCGCTGAGAGTAGACGAACGAACCTGACGAATCTCCGGCCTCTGGCGTCTTTCTTGCTCTGATTCGGGAACACTGCTAGGCCTAACAGCGGCCCTGCTAGAGCACCGGCCACGTGAGCAGCCCAGCCTACTCTGCCGCAGCCGAGCAGCGCCGGGATTGGAAGGGACGCCACGTCCGCGCTGGCTAGCAGTAGTACGGCACCTAGACGCCAGCTGGCGTAGCGGAGTTCTCCGTGACACTGGAAGCAAGAGAGTATGAACCGGTGATTGGATGATCGGTGAGTTATAATATTTAGAAAATGGATGGTTCGCGTTCGAATGAATCTGCATGCATTGTTATTAGCTTCTGGAAAGATTCCTTTTCAATTGTATAAAAGAAGATAATCGTTGTCATTGTCGGTATATGTTTTAAAAAGATTCTTTTTTAATTGTATAAAAGAAGATAATTGTTGTCATAGTAGATAACGACTTGAAAATAGAGATCTCGCGTTGGATGGGAACGTATCATTGTTTCCTTTTAATTGTTCGAGGTGGATGAAGATCGTCGTGACACAGGAAGCAAAAAGGTAAGTTGGAGGAAGTTGGTTTGCCGGACTAAGATTATTAATTTCCGGGAAAGCGAGGTCTTGGTAAGCGACTCAACAGGCTTTCTTTCGGTTGTCTAAGAAGTGAAGAGGATTTCTCTGACACTAGGAATAAGAAGAGAGGAATAGGTGACTAGGAGGAGCGAGTTGGAGAAAGTTGGATTGCGATGTACCGAGATTATTAACTGCTGTGGAACGAAGGTTTTAGCAGCAGAGTTGGAAGGTTTTCTTTCAATTATATAAAAGGCAAGGGAATGTTCGTGACATTTCATAGAAATACGAAAAGACTAGACTCCTGCGTTGGTCTGTTCTTGAGGATAATTAAATTGTCCGAGACGTAAGTTGAAAGGAAAAGAAAGAGGAAGAAGAGAAATTAAATGGAAGTAATTGCAGGATGGAACGTGCAATTTTACATGTGGACACGTTGTTTTGATAATAATTACGGGGAAATAATATTTCCAACTTACCAAGTAAAGATGTGCAAGATGACTAGTAAGTAGAGCATAGACACCAGCTGAAGCACCCACCAGGAAGAGACTGGGTTGAAGCAGGGACGCACCTAGAGCTCCGCACACGCCACCTCCTAAGTAGATAGTTGCCACTCCTATTCGACCCTGTTCCACCTACGATCACCGACAATCTTTTTCTTTCGACACGTTTTGCAATAGTTCATCGATAAGCACAGTCCTTTCTCCCTTATGTGCATCTCAACTACCTAATCCTTTCGATACAGTGGCTATGCTACAAACGTGGTATCAGTATGTCAGACAATCTCAATGCGAACGTACTCTGTTTTACTAAAGTTACGAATCGATATGGAATTCGAATGGGTGACTATAGTCATTGTCAGTACACAATGAGCGTTAGACATTGGATAACTATAGTCGTCGTCAGTATACAGTGAGCGTCAGACATTGGATAACTATAGCCGTCATTAGTACACAGTGAGTGTCAAACATTGGATGTCTATAGTTAGCATTACTACACAGTGACCGTCAGACATTGAGTGTCTACAGTCGCCATTACTATACAGTAACCATCAGACACTGGGTGCTTACAGTCCCCATTAGTAGACAGTGAGTGTCAGACAGTGGACAACTATAGTCGTCGTCAGTATACAGTGAGTGTCAGACATTGGATGCCCATAGTTAACATTATTGCACAGTGACCGTCAGACATTGGATGCCTATAATTAGCATTACTATACAGTGACCGTCAGACATTGGGTGCCTACAGTCGCCATTAGTATACAGTGTGTGTTAGACATTGGGTGCCTAAAGTCGCTATTAGTACACAATGAGTGTCAGACAGTGGGTGCCTACAGTCGCCATTAGTACACAGTGTGCGTCAGACAGTGGGTGCCTACAGTCGCCAGTTGTACACGGTAACCATCAGACACTGGGTGCCTACAGTCCCCATTAGTAGACAGTGAGTGTCAGACAGTGGACAACTATAGTCGTCGTCAGTAATACAGTGAGTGTCAGACCTTGGATGCCAATAGTCACCATTAGTACACAGTGAGCGTCAAACGTTAGGTGCCTACAGTCACCAATACTATACAGTGAGCATCAAACGTTAAATGACTATAATACATCATCGTCAGTACATAAAGCGTCAAATATTTTCTAATCATAGTCACTCCACAGTATCGAAAAGATCAGAAAACCAGTAGTCAGCACAAAGAAGACACCTATCACCGACTAGATCTCCGAAGAAAAATGAAAGAAAATTTAGACAACGCGATTCGTCGGTTCTCCACGGTATTTTCCAGCGACTTAAATTCCACCCCCGACGCAGCATTCTTTTGGTAGCCTCCGTTCGATCCGCAGCCGCATCGGTGAACGCGATCGATAGGTCTGCCAAAGGATACACTTTGCGGAGCGTCGCGAACGGAAAAAGGGGACGGGCCGCGAGCGGCTGGCTGGCCAGCAATTAGTCTGATTAACTCACCTCGAGCGGAGTGGCCAGCACCAGCTGGATGACCACGTTCAACGCAAGGTGCAGCGCGTTCGAGTGCAGCAGCATGTACGAGGCGAACCTCCAGCCTTGCACCCTCTGACGGGGGTCGTAGACCAGCCACCTGCGCAGCGTCGCCTCGTCTCCCAGGCAGTGAACGGCTATCTGTCGTCATCCAGAATGCGTTTCAGCACGGGGTGTCGTGATGTTCGATGCACAGGGTGTGTCATAAATAATGAAACGTGTTCCAGGGGTGAGTTTAAGCAAAGCTTCGGGCACGACTAGCTAGACAGCGCGTGTGGACTGTGGTTTCGTGATTTCGGTTCGTTCTGGTGGTTATCGGGGGTAGTTGGGTTGCGTGTACAGGGTGCGACGATTTATCCACGAGTTCACGCGAGAGAAAAATTTTATTCCAATTGTTACCGAGAAAATTGAAATTCTTGAGATTCGTCTTTGGATACTACGAATTTAAAGTACGATATCTGGGCAACAAAAAATCGTACGTCCATTTTTCTATAGTCGTTGTAAAGGGGAGACTTTGCTCTTTAATATGGTTGCAAAAAGAAAGCCCAGAAAAATTTATTACAATCCATGGAGACGCCCGAATCTGAAGAATTTTCGTTAAAAAATGTACCTGTATTTTCCCGCTCCACGTTCGAACAAAAAATTTTTACGGAAAAAATTGAGACAGGGTGCACAAAGCAGAGGCTTTGCCCTTTATAACGAGCTATAGTTCACCTATGTGCGATTTTTCTTAACGAAGTTACAACGGCTCAAATTTCGACAATTTTTCAGCCCGAAATTAGTGATAGTGTAGTTTCTATGTATGACATATAGGTGACCTAAACTACTTAAAACATTTACTCAATGCGTGATCTATGTCACTTGAATTATTTCTGACATTATGAAGTTATATTATTCGATTAATATGCCTGATCAATCGCTCACGCTTACTACTTCAATTACGTCTGAATTAAGGCTTGGCTTAAACTACTTAAATTACGTCTGATCATTTACTGATCTATACCTGTACCTAATATACAGTTAGTTTCATAAGAGATGAACACCGTTTTACGAGGCTAATTGAATTGAAACTGAAATAGAAAAATGGAGTACCAGAACCTGATTAACAATCGTAATTTTAATTATATAATTACTATCCGTCGAAGTCGGAATGTACAGGCTGCTTCAAAACAAATGAAAATCGGCACGAGCTAAGGGTCATTGTCGGGGATAATCTAGTTCATAATTCCACTACGATTAATATACGATATCAATGCAGAATTAATTAACCAACGGCAAAATCATCAAATAATCCCCGTAATTTGGTGAAATATTCATCGGTGCCGGAAAATTTCGTGGACCAGCCTATATCTCGGCGAAACGTCCTCGGTATTTAAAATCGTTCGCGATTATTGCTATTACTGCGAAAAGGACCGAGTACTGCGTCGCGTTTCATGAAAATTCCGCTGTTCATCGACTGGCCAAAGGAACAAAAACTCGAATACGCATTATCGAACGAACATCCTACCGAATAATTAATTCCATTCGCGTATGGAAATTGGACCGGGCGAAATGGTAATTAATCAAAACTGCTTGCTTAATGCCGAATAAACCGGCGTCGTTGTCAGCCTTTAAATAACGAACGATCCGAATATCCCGGATTATAATGAATGACAATTGACACCGTAATACACGCTGTGAACCCCGAGAAAAGATGCTCTATTGCGGTGAAATCAGCTTCGTAATTTGTCCATTGTCAACGAAATGCCAATAATTAACACGATTATGGGAACGAAAGGAATTAAAATTTCGAATTTTTTAAATTCCATCGTGAAACCATCATAATGGGAGAAGAATACCGAGTTTTCCTTTTTCCTAATTCAAGACTAAGAATATTGAATTAAATTTTCTTTATCGCTATAAAAATTTAAATGATAAGTTCCATATTGTCCCATATTATTTAATAATTATACCATTGCACTTTCCCTTTTACAATTTGTCAATATTAATATTTTACTTTACTTCCTTTAAAAAAAAAATGATTCAAATGTACGTTTACAAAATGCTGCATAAATATAGGCAAAAGAGTTGAAAATCATAGAAAAATGTGTCTAAAAATCGGAGAAGAAGCATTCACCTAATCACATATATAATTCCAACAGCACGAGCCACCCTATACAAATCACTATATGTCGCAAAACCTCTCCTCGTCTCATTATTCAAGAACTTCTCCCTCTCGATAGCAAAACCGGAAATTCGAGAGCACACAGCCATGTATCAAAGCTTCCGTGGCCATTTTCACAGCACATATTTACGCGGCAGTTTATTCGGGAATTACGACGAGCCTGGAGATCGCTGGACCACGAATTCTCGTATCTTTTCCGCCGTTCTGCCCCTACTGCCACGATCTTTTCGCCCCATCCCGCTGAGAAACCCTCCCTTTTTGCGTCTGGACCGACGTGTTCGCGCCTCAGACAGCGACAGGGGTTTCCCGCGCGTAAATCACCCAGCAGCCGCGGATACGCTTTTGGGTCGAGCTTTCACTGGCGTCCATTTTTGTGTACCCGTTTCCACGTTGCGTGACTCTTCGTTTATATTTAATCGTCTGAGTGGCGGAACTTAAGGGAAAAATCTTGTAGGAACACGGCGACTGGACGTAGCTTGGTTCACAGCGGCGTCGCCAGATGGCGCGAGTGAGTTCTGGTCACTTTAACCTCTCGTGGACGCTGTCGTCTATTTGACTGAATTTTTGTGATCAACGTACTCGAAATCGAATAATGCATCTCTTCTCGCAGTGAAGAATAAATTATAATAGAATACAATATATTCCTTTAATTCCTGTTTTAATATATTTTGATATATCTTTTATCAGGTTTGACGTATTTAATAATTTTAATTAATAATTAAAATACTTAATATTTCCTTTCATTTTGGTACGTTTGATGTAGTTTTATTGTACATTTCGATATCGTCTCTTCTAGACAGACTTTTGTTCTATTGTTGGCTATTGTTTCTTGGTTTCCTGGTCCAGGGAGGTGTTTATTCGAGGGAGAAATCGGTTGGATTGGTTCTTAGGTTCGTTCTGCAGACTGTTTACTCGAGACTTCTGGCGCAGCTGGCTTAGGTTTCGTTTTATTTTTATTTTAATTATACACCGCGGCATTATGGACCATGGTGGTTGCTTGTAGTGGTGGTTTTTGCAGCTGGTTCAGATTGCAGGGTCTGACGAGATGATTTCGCGGCAGAAGATGTTTCTCATTAACACTGAAACTACCGACCCATAATGTATACTTAAATATTATGTACGTATATACACGTAGATACCAGTAATTAAAGCGTTATGACGAAAACGCTTAGCTGCAGCCAGGACCAATATTAATTTCGACAAAACCTACGTGTTTTCATTAACCGCGGACACAAAAAGCTTCAAATTAATTCACTTTTTCCCAACACAAAATTACCAAGTCTCTCAATCGTTCTCCTCCAAACACCTTTAGCGAATTCTAATTGAAAATAAAAATTTCCTCTCAACAAGATTAACGGCTTAATAATTAATTTTCGTTATTTTAATTTCGTTATTTCATCGGTTCACGCAACTATCTGGAATTTCTCCGAAAAATCAATCGCAACTAGCCACAGCTGTCAGGAGCATTTTTAAAATACATTTCGACGGGAGAGACTTCTCGTTTCGTTCTCGTTTAATTTAACCACTTGCGCTAGAAAGACGTGCCACACACGTCGAGATGCTTTTGTTCCAAAATCGCCAGCGACGTGTACTCCACGTCGATAGGCATTTATCGCAGAAATAAAAATGACGTGGGCTGCACGTCGGCTAACAACCAGATCGTTCGTTTCTCGAGCTACAGTTGCACAGCATCGCACAGTGCCATCGATATCTTGGAAATATTTCACAATCGATACATGTCAATCGATACGAATCATATCAATGTGACACCTTACCGCGTGTTATACTGTAGCGCATGGCATCGCAACCGTGAGTTTATTGGTAGCGCGAGTGGTTAACCTTCGTCTCGATTATTTCCGAACTCATTACCCCTTCGCGAAATAGACGAGAAAATTTGTTTAAGAACAATGGTTCCTTTGCGAGCAAGGGATTTAACGACGCACACTCGAGCGTGAATCGCGACTTTTAAAGAACCCCCGTCGCGAATTTCACGAGTACAAATCGACGTGCCCGGACGCCAAATAAACAGCTTTTCCAATTATTTCACCGATCGTGTCTCGCGGCCCCCTCGAGCGAAATTATTCATAAAACGAATTTCCCCGCCATTTGTCGAGGACGGTCGAATAAATTCGCAGAGGACACGGAGCACGTCAAAACATCCGCGAGGACATCAATTCTTTCCGTGCATTTCAGCCCCCTTTTTTTCCTCTTTCAGACCGAAACTGGATCGTTGTCGAAGGCATATAGTTGTCAGGCGAGGAACACCTGTCGTTGTCCAACGATTTCTCTCGATTCCGTCGGGCTATGATCGCGCTGGATCGAGATTAGTCGCGCGATCCGATCATCGGAGGCAATAAATCCGAAAATTCGCGTGTTCAGGCGACGACGTGATGGGTTTGATTAAAAATTATCGGATATTACGAGCGTGGAATAACGAATAAAGAAAGGATCTCGCAGAATCTTTAATTAAACAATTTTAGTTTGGGGAAGAGATTAAAAATGAATGTCGAAAAATTTTAAAATCACTATACAACGATTCTGTTATTCTTTGCATACTAACATTCAATTTACGATTAATTTCGATTTTATATCGTCTATTTATTATATCATACTCCGTTTGAGTTAAGAATTACACGAGTTAAGAATTTTATACAATTTAATTCGGTGGATGTACTATAGGATAATAATTCAATGTATTATAGGATGAGAACCACTGCTAACACTGTAATAGGAAGAAAAGTATCGTAAATTTGTCGTCGATGCCTTTAGCCACAGAAAATTTCAGTGGATGTACTGTAAGATAATAATTCAATGTACAGTAGGATGAGAACCACTGCAATGGGAACAAAAATAGGTATCTTAAAATTCGTCTTCGATGTCTTTTAATCAAAGAAAATTTCAAGTTTCGGAATAATAACTCGATTATTATTATTATTTCACGAGTCTTCGATCAGAGACACAAAATGGCCACTGAGAA